AGAAGGAGAGAGATTACCATTCACATTATTATCAACATGACTGACAGGTGAACTTGCTCCAGGGAGATGGTGAAGAGGTTTTCCAGAAAGAACCACCTATTAAAACATTTTTCACTACCATTAATTAGTAAATTTGCAGGATAACAGGTAAGGAAGACTTCTACAAACTGCAGCCAGCAACATGTCATGAGTAGGAGGAAAGGAGCATTAATGGGCAGACAATAAGGCTTAATACAAAACAAATATTTATTAATGTGATAGGTATGAACAATTGCCAAAAAAAAAAAAATTTAAGGGAAAAGAATAAATAATAATAATAATAATAAAAAAACAAAGCCTTACCTGTACAGAATGGTTAAAGAGCCCAGTAATAATCTTCTGATGCCGTCTTGAAAGACAAGGATAACCCTTTGCATTTGTTAGGAAACACTGTCACACCAACAAAAACATCTTAGAAAAGAATTACTAAAGCAACAAATAATTAATAAAAGGAAAACCCCATAACATATTTACATCAGTATGTACTATCGCAGCACGGACAGACTCTCCAAGCCATCGCCCAATTGAATTTACTGATGGCAGTGTGCTCCTAGAGAACAAGGTATTATTATTAAAATGAAGTTTTTAAATGATAAGGCAGCCAAAATATAAAAGTAAATTGATAATGTAACTCACAGAACATCAAGGGCAACTGATAACTGACTGTGGTGTTCACAGAGAAGTCGAAATGAATTCCAGAGTTCCCAAGAATCATTCTGTAGAATCCAGGCAATAAAGTAAGGGAGACAGATTAGAATTTGATTTGACATCTTAATGATCCCCATAAAAATTAAGTTTGAAATTTCAATTCAACATTCTTTGAAAGTTAACATATATAACAGAAATGATGATTTCTTCTTCATAAAAAAAATTGACATGTTATGATTGACTCAACATGGGAGTGGAGGTTTCTTTTATCAACAAATTTTGTATTGTTTTTGCCACACAAAAAAATCTTCACAATGGAACACAACCTAAGAAACAGAAATACAAACAGATTCCATCAAAAAGGCCTCTCATAGCAAGAAGAAACTTCACTCACCAAATCATCCAAATTTTCACCCATAGATTCATCATCAGCCTTCACCAACGGAATCCTAAGCCATAGCTTCAGAGGGGAGACATAAGAATCAAAATAAAAATGAGAAGTGGAAACAGAGAATGTCAAATAATTAATTACTAAATAAATCCAGATCAAGAAAGGCACCTGCATGTTGCTTAGGCCTTGCAATATCTGATTTACACATCTAGCATAATTAGCACATCTTGTTCCCTTGGGAGAAGGAAGAAGGCATGCCTGCAGTAAATAATAGATATGGGAATTTAGAATAAGGTAAGATTAACTTGTACACCCATTAAGAAGTTAGTGTACCAACAAATATTGTCCAATCATTTTGCAACTCATCTCAAACATGCAGAATAAAGGTACAACGCTTAATTATTTTCAATTCATATGCAAGCAGTTTATATCTTACACAAAGTCACAAACCCACTACATAGGAACTTTTTACAGTGATGCAAACCTGGATGGAGAGATGAGTAGCCCAGGCTATTTCTTGTTTCAAAGTGATTTCAGAATCCCTTCGAAGAGTATCATCCTCTGAATCTAAGTCAATCCAAGAACTAATTTTTCCTGAAAATTTTCAAGAACTTATTGAGCATAAATGATGTGCTTTAAGGGTCATATGAAATCAGATAAAGTTCGTACCCACAACATGACTACTCCACTGAGAAGGGCTTAAAATTAGGTCTGACCCAGCAAATGGCAGAGCACGAGATTCAGAACTGGTTTCTTCCACCAAACTAGGTCTGTAATTGGGATCCATCTGCGCACACATTAAGTGGTAAGTAGTATGAACACGAGTGCATCTATAAAATCAAGTAGATATGACATGAATTTCTCAAATTTTCTTGCTTAAACAATTGAAACTACTAAAATCTATGTAAAAGAAAAAAAGAGAAAAATAAAAATGGAGTTGCTTGGCAAAAGTACGCAATGTTATTGATGACCCATGAATGAAAGCAATCAACTTTCAGCATAATGGTCACCAAAACATCATTTTAGGTGATCCTACTACCATTCACACATTTGGGTAATATGTGAACGGCTAACTAGCCACCAGAAGAAAAACCTATGTTGTTGAAGGGAACCTAATAGTGAAAGCAGAGATGCAGACTTTCACAATTGCAGGACCTTTCAACGGTGGTGCTTTAGGTGAGCTTACTGACCATTCACACAAGAAACAGACAGAACATGTGATTGGCTAATTGACCGCCATAAAATCATCAGCATGAAGAAGAAAGAAAAAAGAGACTGCTGAACGAACCAAGGGAGCAACAACGAAATCGAAGCCGCCGGAGTTAAGGTTGGAAGACAAAAGGCTGGGGACATCTTCGTCGTACTCGGTCTCGACCCCGCAGTACCGGGACTCGCTCTTGTCCCATCCTCCTCTCTCTCCCAGCGCCATTTTCGTTTCTTCTCTCTTCCCGGCTTTAGTTGAGTTGACGAGCGTTATAATTATAAATGGTGAAAAAGGTTTTTTGTAGGGTTTTAAATTATCCCGGCCCAAAATGGCCCAAAACACTATTACTCAAATTCCTTTCTTAACAAATCCTAACCAGTTTGCACCAATATTTAAATCAGATATTTCTCCACTAATGATTTATTACTCTAAGTGAAAAAGGTTTATTATCCCTAAATAAATTTTTAAGGGCATGTTTGGTACAGCGATTAAAATTCAGTGGATAGTGGGTAGCGGATAGCCGTAGTGGGTAGCGGGTGGTGGTTAGCGGATAGCGGATGGCGGATAGCGAAAAGTGGATAGCGGATGGTAAATAACGGATTCGATAAATATAACTGTTTGGTTATACAATAGTTAACGGTTGTTGTTTAATATCAAATGACTAATAAGGATATGTTTAAAAACCAAAAAATGTATTTTTTAAAATATTTTTATTTTTTATTATTAAAATTATTAATTTTATAG